TTTTTTTTTTTTTTTTTGAGACAAGATCTATATATTTCAGGCTGTTCTTGACCTCACTATGTAGCCTAGGCTGGCCTTGAACTCAAGGGGATCCTCCCGCCTAAGCCCCCACAGTGCTGGGATTATAGATGTGTGCACCGCCACACCTGGCTTTTCTTTTTTGAGACAGTCTCACTATGTAGTTCAGGTTGTTCTTGAACTTGAAGCAATCCTCTTGCCTCAGTCTCCAGATTGCTGGAATTACAAGCCTGCAACCACTCTGCCCAATTTTCATCTATTTCCTACCATCAAGCATACATGTAGAGTTTAGGAAAGAGTTCAAGACCAGCCAGAACTACATAGAGGGACTCTATCTCAAACAAACAAACAGAGGCCAGAAAAGACAAATACAAAGTCCTTCTTTGGCTGGGACCCCTCAGAAAAGGAATCTCCAAGCTAGGCAGGGTAGTATGTGCCTGTGCCTGTAGTATCAGCTACTTGGGAAGCTGAGACAGGTTTGAGACAGCCTGGGCAGCATAGCAAAACACATGTCTAAAAAGAAAAAAACATTAAAAAGAAAAGGAATTTCCAGATCTTGGTCGCCTTATTGGGTTCACCTAAAGGTAGGAGGGACTCCATTTTCCCTCAAGAAAAATGGGCTTAGTGAGCATCACGTTGGGGACCGACTACTGGGGGCCACCCGGGCTGACCAGAGCATCCTGCCTCTCCACACTGGGGCTCGATGGCTGGGGCTCAGGGGACTCCATCTCTCCATATTCTCTATGTTCCATATGTCACAGGCTCCCGCTTTGCCTTACTCTGGCCACTTCCAGGAACATATATGTGTGTGTGTGTGCACCTTTTATTTATACAAAATTAAATAAAAACACTCAAACTGCATATGAAATTTGTTCAGCCTCGACCTCTGAACTGCTGCTTTCTCCTTCCTGGGACAGGCTGGAGAACGCCTGTAATCCTAGCAGTGTCCTCGTGCTTCTCAGGCACTTCAAGGCCACCTCAGGACTTGTTTTCATATACCCTCAGCAGTACTGGTTAGGAAGGTACTGAGAATGACAGGGGTTTCCCACTTCCAGCTCTGCAATCCAGGATTTTTGTTTGTTTTTTGACACAAGGTCTCATTATGTAGCTCAGGCTGGCCTCAAATTCACAGCCATGCTCCTACCTAAACCTCCCAAGAGCTGGGATTACAGGTGTGCACCCCCACTCCCGGCTTGCTCTGCTATTCTGAAGAGAAGCCAAGGCTTTGGCTTTCTTGCTGTAACTTTGATTCTTCACATTGTTGAGGTGCAGCGATTGGGGCTTCATTTCACTGTCTATAATCTATTTCCTCTATGGAACCATACCATTCTTTCTCATCTGGATCATCTGTGAGGCAACCAAAACAGTTTCTGTTCCTTCTGCCTTTTTTCTTTTGTAGAAACAAAGAAAATATCAGTTTGACAGACTCAAGTCCAATTTCTATTCTCACAGAGAAGTCCACCACTCGACTACTTCCTGGTTATCATTTTGAGTGATAGATTCTTTTAAAATTTGGATTTAACTTAGCTTGAGAACTTAAGTCTAATTCATCATTTGCAGCTGTATACCTGGGCCAGGAATTTAGCTCAGTGGTTCCGCCACCTACTTGGCAAGCACAAGGACCCGAGTTTGATCCCCAGTACCAAAACAAACAAACAAACAAACAAACAAACAAAACCCCCAAAACCCCTCTACACCTTATTTTGAAGTTCAGGATTTAAACTGACTTCTAACACTGATATACCCTCTAAATAAACCTAGGCAAGGAATACCAGCCCTGTGTTCCAATCCCCGCAAGATAACGTAGAAACACACAATGCCACATAGAGAAAGGAGAAGCTGCAGTTTCATGTTGTCCATTGAAGGCCTATGGGCCTCAGAATGTGGCCACTTCTTGCAGTTCCAGCCCTTTGCTGTGGCCCACTTTGAGTAAGTGAATTCCTCTGTTGAAACTTGCACATAATAAGGAGTCAGCATCGCCAACAGCCAGGGAAGTCAAGGGTCCTGAGCCATCCAGGGACAAAGTGAAAAGGCAGGCTGGAGGAGAAAGAGAGCACCAGTAGGTTAGGCCAAGAGTGTGTTACAGTCCTATATCACTGGACAATGGGATACATCTGAGAAATGCATTATTGTACAACATCAAAGCACATACATACTTACATACCCAGAGATGATAGTCTCCTACACACCCGGGCCATGTGGCATATACCACTGTATATGTGGTCTGTGGTTATCTGAAACATCATTTTGCAGTGTGTGACTGTATAATGAAACACCATGTCCTCATGAGAAACCCAAGGAAATACACCATGCGCTATGTCTACTTAAAGCACAGGAGAGCAGTCCTTTCCATAACTGCAATTGTAGAGGGTAGAACCCAGGTAAAACAAGATCTGTGCCATCAAGAAGTGCATTTAGGGCTGGGGATTTAGCTCAGTGGCATGGCGCCTGCCTTGCAAATGCAAGGTCCTGAATTTGAACCCCAGTACCAGAAAAAAAAAAATGCATTTAGACAGTAGGAGGCTTAACCTGCTAAACACATGCTAGAAAGGTGCCCCAGGTTACCTCCCCAGAGAACAAGCCAGGGCAGAGGCAGGGAGAACAGATCTATAGCTTCCAGCTCTCTTCAAGAAAAATAAGAATGGGGACCTGCAGGAAGTCTTGGGGGGATCCCAGCTGACCCCACCTGCCTCCATCTGCACCTCCAAGGCCACCATTCCAAGAACTTCAGGTGCATGTTCCCAGGGCAGGGGCTTTGCACCATCTGTTCAGGTCAGCACTCTCAGACCTCACTCTCTCTGGTTACAGGTTCATAATAATCAAATTTAAAACATTTACTCCCTCACTACCACCACTATTACACCTGGGCAGCTGGGAGATCAACTCCGGGTGAGGCTACAACAGGTCTGTCCTTACCATGGAGATTTGGTTTGAGCTGACTGCACAGTACCATTAGACAGAGTTCCACCTCCTTTGTCTGTGGGGGTACCCTATCTCCCCTAAAGGAAACTTGAGTTTCGGGAATGTGTTATAGGAAATTCTCTAGATACTGTTCTTATTTCTGGCAGAAGCTTGTGTCCAGGACAGAATATCATAGAGGCAGTTAGGTGCTTGGAAACTAGCTTTCTATAAAAACAAAACCAGAAACAAAAAACTAAAAACCTAACATTTATTTATAACACTTACCAATTTTCATGGTATAAATATTTCTACCATTGTAGCAGACATCCCCGCACAGTACTAGAGGGCTATGAGTAGCACATGCTTCTTGCTTTCCCTAATTCAGCCATAATGTTTTATATCAGTAGTAATATTGAAGCCCTCCATGACTCAGATGGGCAAGTCAGGTAGCAGAGCTGGGCTAGTATTGCTCCTTCGCTAATGGCTGTCAGTAGGGCCTACGTCCTGGTCCGTGAAGTGGCAGGGTTCTGCTGAGTTACATCAGCTGAGATCAGAGTGACCCTAATTAAACTCCTTTCCTCTGAATTATGGCTTCTCACTGACCCAATGGGATGCTTGATAATTTTACATGGTCTCAGTACTTGTTTGTTCTGTCCAACCAAGGTAAGCAGCGCCTACTCCCTCATAGCCCTCCCTGGCACCATCATGCCAGGTGTTCGGCAGTATTTCACTAGATGCCTTCAAAACACACCCAGTTCCCTATTCCTTCTCACAGTTATTTTCAATAGATACTGGATGTGTTTGGGGCCCTTTCTTTATTGCCTAGAGCAGCACTGATCAGTCCTAAGACCCAGTTTCTTTGTAAGTCTTATTTTCTGTCTTTATTCTTTAATTAACCTTGTGCTGTCATGGCTCACAGGAGACCAGGACCCACTGCAGGGGTTCTGCTAACATCCCCTTTCCCATTACCTATACACCATGACTAGATTTCATAACGTCAAAGGTTTAAAAAATAAACAGCTCATAAATTCCTGAATATTGAGCAATCATCCAGTAGGAACACATGGAGAACTCTAAGGAGCCACATTCCATAAGACCCCATTATTTCTCTGGTGCTTTGAAGCACCATGACTTTACTGTGGTCTTAAACCACAGATTCAGAATCCAAATAGCCTGTCTTTATTCTCCTTCAACCCAACCAAAAACTGAGTCTTGTTTTAATCCTTAAAAAACAAATTCAGAAGAGCTAACTGTTGTTCCCTTTTCCAGGCATTCTGAGCATCACAAGTTAAACCCTGATGAGGAACTTCAGGAAGAAGGAACAGAAGGGCCAAATATATTTTATTTAGGCCAGTGATGGCAAACCTTTTAGAGCTTGCAGTGATAGCACAGCACCTGTGTCATAGGCTCACTATCACTGATTTAGACTCTCAGGAAGGAGTTCACATATTAAGGTACAAGAAGGCTGGCTTGGTACCAGAATCTAGCCAGAGACTGACCAGAGCGATTCTGGCATCTCAGAGTCATCTTTTAATCACTGGGACTGGACAGTGGCAGGAGCTGGGTAGCTGTGTATATGATGAGCGATAGAAAGAAAGAGTTTAAGGACTTCATGTGTATTTTGAGAAGCACTGACAGCAGGCTCCTTACCTCCAGTATCTTGGTTCCAAATCTTCACCTTGGAATCATGTGATGAGGTAGCAATCACAGGCATCAAGGCCAATGTTTTTGGTAGAAAAACACAGGATGCTACTGTCTGGAAATGTCCCTTATACTCACATATTCTGTTTCTTGTCTGCCGTAGGTCCCACAACTGCAAAGTAAGAAAGGATACAGACCAGATCATACATATTCTCCTAGTTTCATACATACTACTCCATCACTCATAACCTTATTCCTGGCCTCCAATTTTGATCCACCTATTCCATGCACTTACCTACTCATTTAGCTCCATGAACCCTTTATCTCCATCCATCATACCCAAACACTCATCCATCCAGAGCACCAACTAAATACCAAACAACACAGGGTAAACAAGGGTCGAAAGGGTCATTGCCTTTTTCATGATTAGAGGAGTAAAAGCTTTAAATCCTGCAGCATGAAGGAATAGTATGGAGTTGCTTGATTTCCATTACAACTCAAGGAATGCCTTATATCAGCTTCCTGGCATCTGTGGGTGCTGCAGGGACTACCATAGTTAAAGGCACCTTCTTATAAATAGAGACAGGTACAGGCATTGTGATTTAATGCCTAGTGTCTACAATAAGGGAAGTGACATCTCCCCTGGGTTCTACTCTTACTGATACTATTATTTCTTCTATGTGAATGTTATTCACTGGAGAATAACATGCAGGGAGGAGATCAAACTGAACTATGCCCCAAAACAATGAAGTCACTGGAGATCATGTTGTCCATTATCCCAGATGAGAGATGCTACAACTAAAGTTTGCAACACTCTGATCTACCACTCACCGGGGATGTAGTCATATACAAGAGATTTCAACTTATGGTGCCTCTCTTTTCTCACCTGTAAAATGGGAATTATAACAGTGCCTAACTCACAGGATTGTTTTAAGGATTAAATGAGATAGTACATGTAATGTGCTCAGCCCAGTGCTTGACACATAATAAATGCTTGATAAAATGGGAGCTATACTTGTTCTGTTTGGAAATTAGATAACCCGTTTAACTGCTATTGTACGATTATACTTCTAAGGTACTGTGGAGGAGCCTCGACCATCTATCCTGCAATAACGGCAAAGAAGGTATGTGGCCAACACTGGAGCTCACATTCCCTAGAGTGTGACTCTTCCTTTCCATGGCCACATGCTGCAACAGAAGCACAACTGCTCTAAAGCATCCCCTCCCTTATCTAAGCTCTGCTTCCAGAAAAGACGTCAGCAGGCTGGTTCTGTGTTTAGCACTTCTGTATCTTGGCTCTCATTCCATTCCTCTTGTCTATTACCAATACAAGCAGCACTAGGTCAAAGGATGCTTCTTAAAAGAGCATTTGGAATGCAAAGGATCAGTCACAGTGTGTACCTGAAATAGGTGTGGGCCATCAGCACAGATGCCTCGTGTAGTCTGGCCAAAGGTAGGAGGCCAGAGTAAGTGACTTGTTCATCGGCAACCAGAACCTGTACCCCACACAAGCTCTCACCGTGGCTTCACAGCCTTCACCTCCAAAGCCATTGCTGCAGGAGATACACTTGTGTCCGTCCATGCTGACTTCACAGTAGGTCTGAATGTGCTGCTTTGGGGGAAACATATGAGCCACCTGCAGCCCCCGAATGTCCCATAATCTGAAGGAAATGAAAGCAATTAATGAGTTTGTAGCCGGTATGCCTGAAACACACCTGTGATATCCCACTAACACAGAAGCCTTGGCTCTTTGATGCTTAGGCCAGTCAGAACAGAACATGAGGATTTACCAAAACAATGCGGCATGGACCAGCCATGCTCTCAGGCTCTAAAGCTAACAGGATGTAACTAAACTGAATGACATCTGAATTCTATTTTGAGATCAGCTAGTAGGAACTTAGACCACAAATCCTTTTTGTGGGGGAGGGTCCTGGGGATTGAATTCAGGACCTTGAGCTTGTGAGGCAGGCGGTGGCACCACTGAGCTAAATCCCTGGCCTTAGACCATGCATCTTAATGGTTCAAGTTAATTTGTTAATTTGGTTGTTCAGGATGTTGTTTTCAATGGCTGTTTCTGTGTCTGCAATTTAAATTTTAAAATAATTATGATACAGAGGATAGTCATCATTCCAGAGGAGACAGAAAGGATCTACAGGCTTTGCCAACCTTGGCCTTGGAGGCCATAGGAGAGTTTCATTTTTCTTCTGGTCTCACTTTTACCTCTTTATCTCATTCTTGCCTTTTCCTAAGTAGAATCTCTTCTGAGAGTCAAAGTTTCTAGCCATGCTCTCTAATTTAAGAACTATGGACTTCATTGGATTCCCCTGATGGAGATTCTGACTCTGCTTCCCCAGGGAGGGCTTTGGCTAAGGGCAGGTGACTGGGACCCCAGAAGTCATGAGGGACAGCAAGTGGAGAGCCAGGCAGCCTGACAGGGCAGGACAGGTAGGTGACTGATCCTGAGGTTGCTCTGCACACATCCCCACAGTGGGAGCTGGCTGAGCCAGCTGTTTCCAAACCATCCAGAACATGGGCTGACTCCTGACTGATCTCCTGGCACTGGTTTGTACTCAGAACATTCTCGTAGCCAGACCAGAGAGATCCTAGCATGGAGAGGGGAAAGGTGGTGGGAGATGCTGGAAAGCGCACAGCAGTGTGCGAAACAGTCAGGTCAGTCTGGGAACCACAAGCATCACCAGAAATCCTTCACTGCCACTCACCTCATGGTTTTATCTTCAGAGGTCTGTAGTACATATGGTTCTCTGGGGACCCAGCACAAGTGAGTGACCTGGAAAAAGCAACATTTTCAAAATGTCTCTATACCCAGTCATTCTTCTGCTATAATTCCTGTAAACTGCTAAATGGTATCTCTGAGCTCTTCTCAAGGATTCTGAAGTGGTAAATTTTAGACTTAGAGGAATTCAGTGTTTTGTAGACACTTATGAGTCAGGCTCTGCCTGCCTCTCCTGGTTATCACAGCAGTGGTAGCAGTGGTGCTGGTTGTGCACCAAATGCTGGTGGGCAACCTGAGAGCACCTGTGACTCAGCTGGTGATGGTGACCGGCTAGCGCCTGGCCCTGCTGCTAAAGCAGGACCACAGAAGCTCTGTCTGATACCTCAGAGGGCTCAGAAGAGTGACGGTGTTCATCTCGTCTCCTGCAGTCCCTGCTGCACAGGCATGGGACAGTTTTCAAAACAACCCAGGGTAACAGGATTTTCATTTTCATCACAGCCACAAATATGGAGGATCTGAGCAAGCACATCCTGCCATCAACAGCTGCATTCAAAATTAGAACAGAGAAAGTCAGGTTCAGTGGGTCATGCTCATAATACAAACATTTGGAAGGCTGAGGCAGGAGGATCATGAGTTCATGGCCTGCCTTGGCTACACAGTGGGTTTAAGACCAGCCTGGACTACACAGAGACTAGCACCCCCTCACCAGTGCAGACATGGCCCTGCATACTGCACTCTGGGTGGCTGAGGCAGGAGGACTTCAAGTTCCAGCCCAATAGGGACAACTCAGCAACTTAGCAAGACATTGTCTAAAGATGAAAAAAAAGAAAAAGAACTTGAGATGTAGCTCAATGGGAAGTTCCTGAGTTATGAAAAGAAAAAAATTAGAAAAGATGCCTATAAGTGAAATTTGACAACCACTAAAAGAACATCTGCTATGTGTCAGGCACAATGACAATGACAGGTGTTTCACATACATATATTATCTAGTGTAATTAGAAGATTATTAGCTAGTGATATGATTCTCCCCATCTTATGAATGAAGACATAGACTCTAAGAGCTTACCTAATTTGGTATGACACAGCTAATGAGGAACCTCTGGGGAGACTTCATGGAGAATGAGTAATAGGTTCATGTTTTGCAACCGGGAGTAAGGATGTAGCTCAGTGGCAAAGAGTTTACCTATTATGTGCAAGGCCTTGAAGTAGATCCCCAGCACCACAAAAAACAAAAAGCTCACACAAATCCAGAAAACTGGCCTTCAAAAACAGTAATGGCATGGTGGCACAGGGCTGTAATCCCACCACTCAGGAGGCTGAGGCAGAGGTATTGCTGTGAGTTTGAGGCCAGCCTGGGCTATATAGTGAGACCCTGTCTCTAAAAAACAAAACAAAACAACAACAGCAACAACAAAAACCAGAGTAACTCACACATTAAGCAAAAGGCGATGCTTAATTTCTCTGAATGATGCTACATGTATAGAGGTGAGAGCAGTCACCTTATATTACACATAATACACATAACCTGTGAGCCCTTGGAAGACAGGAACTATGCCTTGGTCACTAATCCTGTTCCCAGCAGTGTCTGGCCCACAGAATGGAAAAAGTATATTTTGAAGGGGCTAGGGATTTAGCTCAGTGGTTCCGCCACCTGCCTTGCAAGCACAAGGACCCGAGTTTGATCCCCAGTATCAAAATATATATTATATATATATATATTTTTTTTGAAGGAGTAAGTGACACCATTTTAGATTCCAGTATAAACCAGTGGAACTATTCTCTAGAGCGGAAGAATCAGGAGAGCAGCTAAAAGAATAATCCAAGAACCCCGGGGGTCACAGAAATTTAATAGGAGCAATAATCAGGACACAAGGATCTGAGGCCTCATCTCTTTCTTCAGCCTCACCCCACCCCAGCGCTGGAAATTGAACCCAGGGCCTCCATACTACTGTAAACCCACGCTGTAACACCGAGTACACACGAGCCCCTCCTGTAACTCCATGTTCCCTGCTGTTGCCCTGCTTTGTATCAAGTTTGAATTCATACCAGGTTCCTGGAGACACAGGCTTTCTCCACACATTGTCCTGTCCCCACATCCCACAGGAGCAGGGTGTTGTCCCGAGAGCCAGTGCACAGCTGTGATGAGTCTGGAAACAATGGCGAGAAGTCAGGCTTGAGTGGGACTTGCACAGGGTTCTGGGGAAGTACGCAGGTGTTAGGAAAAGGTCTGCTTCACTTTACCTGGGCTCACAGCCAATCCTGTGACCACCATGTCGTGGCCAACCAGCTGCTGCCTGGGCTGTGAGGAGCCGTGCAGGTCCCACATCATGACTGTCCTGTCTCGAGAGGCGCTGAAGAACTGGCTTGATTTGGGGACACAGGCCAGCTGCTCAGAAAGGGAATCAAGCAAAAATAGCTCTGGTATGCTAGATGGATTGGACTTTAAGAGACAGGTTTGCAATAAACCCTCCCCACAGAGTGTGTGTGTGTGTTTGTGTGACATGTGTGAACCCAGGACCTCACGCTATGCATTCTACCACTGAGCTGTACCCCTAGCCCTTTTAAAATTTTATATTGAGACAGGGTCTTGCTAAATTGCCCAGGCTAGGCTTGAACTTGCTATACTGCTCTACACGTTTTAAGAATAATACCTTGGAAGGGCCAGGGATTTAGCTCAGTGGTGCCACACCTGCCTCACAAGGTCCTTGAGTTCTATCCCCAGCACCACAAAACAAAAACAAAAACAAACGAACAAACAAAAACCCCAAATTTGAAACCTGTGGCTCGAAGCACAGCTGGGCTGAACTCCCACCTTCCTCAGTGTTACGCTCCTCTTTCCTCTTCAGGAAGCAGACTCCCTCCTGACCTTCCAGGTGAGGTTGAAAACCCTCATCTCCATGGAGCCTGCCCAGACCATCTCCCTTCTCAGGTCCCCTGTAGAACATCTCTGTGTGACCCTGTGGCACCCTGTCGTCACCACACCCAGGTGAGTGATGTGACCAGTGCTCCTGCATACAGTACTGTCTCATTCACCACCTTATGCTGTCCCCTATTTCACGTCACGGCAGTATTCAAGTTATCTTTAAAGAGGTCCTTTTATATTTATTTTTAATCATATAAAGATCCATTTTTTTTTCTACTTTGCCAAGGGATTCTGCAGGGATGTTTCTGGTCTATTAAGATCATATTCTTTTCTTTTGACCGGTTAATACAGAATCATCATCAATTCCTTACTTTATCGATTCCCTAATGGTAAACTATTTCTGCATTCTTAGCATAAAACTCGATTAGTCACGGTATGCTATTCTTTTAGGGAAAAATTAGATTCTGTTTGCTAATACTTTGTTTTTAAGTTTTTTGCATGAATACTTGTAGCAGTCTGCAAGTAGTACATCCAATATCCATTTTCCCACTCTCACTTAACAATAAAACCTCTATAATGTTGGGTATGGCAATGTTCTCAGGCATAAATTCAGATTTCCCAACTGCCTAGAAGACATGGGTAAGCAAATATAAGTGGAAGTAAATAATCAGGGGAAATCTTTCTAAGGGGCTACCAGGGACAACCTTTGCTCTTGCCCCTTCTTCCTTCCTGCTGCCTTGAAATCAAATATAACGACTGGAGCTGCAGCAGCCATCTTGTGAATGGGAGATAACTGTGAAGAAGGAATCTAGGTTCTAGTGATGGTAGATAGGAAACACAGAAGGAGACAGATGTGGTGGCATCACCTATAGTTCCAACTACTCTGGAGATCGAGGCAGGAGAATGATGAGTTTAAGGCCAGCCTGGGCAATGTAAGCAACATACCAACACACTGTGAAAAGGAAAGAAGAGAAAGCAAGAAGGAAGGAAGGAAGGAAGGGGAAAAGAAAGAAGAGGAGGAAAAAAAGAAAGGACAGGAGTCCAAGTTCTATCCCCATACCAAACAAAAAAAAAACCAAAAAAAAAAACCCATAGGCATCTGGCTCCCTTATGACCACCATGAAGCCACATGAACCTCTGACTGCACATTTGGGCTTTCTGTAATCTGGAGCAGTATCTAATTGCACCTGACAGAGAAGCTCACTGGTATGTGGTTTCCTTAGATGCTTTTTCAGGTTTTACTACTGATGTTAAACTGGCTTTATAAAAAGAATTAAGAAATAGTCCATTTTTTCTATGCCTTACAACAATTTCTGTTGTATCAGATTTATTTTCTATTGTATCAAATTTATTATTTTTTGTGTGGATTTCAAAGAACTATTTTGAAACCATCAAGGTCCAATACTGTTGTGACAGGTGACTTTGTTGTACTTTTCATCACTTTAAAGTGAGTCTGTTCCATATAATGCTTTGTTTGTCTGCGATGGGGTCTTGGTGTATTACTCAGATTGGCCTTGAACTCGCAATCCTCCAGGCTCAGCCTCCAGATTACAAGTGTACATCTATGCCTGGCCATTTGATGCTTCTTACTTTGCTTATAAATTTTTTTTTTGGTACCGGGGATTGAACTCGGGTCCTTGTGCTTGCAAGGCAGGCCACCGAACCGCTGAGCTAAATCCCCAGCCCTTTTGCTTATGACTTTGATATTATTATCACAACTCCTGAATTTATTTGGTTGCATTTTTCTGATGGATCGTTGCTCAGTTTTTTCCTATTGTAGTATATTCTATGATATTTTAAAAATATTGTGCTAAAATACACACAAGAAGAAAGTTATCATTTTAACTTTTTTTTTTTTTCCTTTTTGATACAGGATCTCGCTATGTAGTTCAGGCTGGTCTTGAACTCACTATGTAGCCCCAGCTGGCCTTGAACTTAGTGATCCTCCTGCCTCAGCCTCCCAAGGACTGAACTGCAGGTGTGTGCCACCACTCCTGGCTAACCATTTTTAAGTATACAATTCAGTGGCATTGGTACATTCACATTGTTGTGCCACCATCACCACCATCCATTTCCAGAAGTTTTTCATTATCCCAAAATGAAAATTTATACCATTCTTTCCTCTCTACTGCTATTGGTAACCACTTTTTCCATTGTCTATATGAATCTGACTAGTACAGATACCTCACATAAGTGGAATCACAGTACTTACCCTTTCTGTCTGGCTTCTTTCGCTAAGTGTAATGTTTTCAAGGTTGTACATGTACCCAATTTCCATTCTTTTTAAAGGCTGAGTAATATTCCATTATGTGTCTATTACCACACAGTTTATCCATGCAGCTATCAATGGATATTGGGTTGTTCACTTTGGAATGCTTTGCTCTGCTTTTCCTGGAGTGGCTCTTCACCACATCAAACAAAGCTTTTATATTTAAATCAATCAGTCAATATTGAAAGCTATTAGAAATTCCTTTATCCCATTCCAAATTCCCTGCATATTAATCACTGACAATTACCTTGGTAATTTCACGTTCATGGCCTTTGAACTTTTTCACTACGATTCCAGTTTTCCAATTATAGGCAACAACTGTCTATAGAGAGTCATTAGAAAAGGTTAGTTCATGCAAGCGCAAGGACCTGAGTTCGATCCCCGGTACCAAAAAAAAAGAGAAAAGGTTAGTTCGATCGCTCCATTTCCACCTAACTGAAACTAGCCTTTCCTTCATTCCCATCTCATTTTTCCCTGGTAACTAACTCCCTCTTTGTCAATGGGCTTTCTTCACATTTCATTGCCTTGAATTTTTCTTTCCTCTTGATCATTCCTCTGTCTCTCCTGAAACACTGGGCCATTCCTCTAAACTATCCTCATGGGTCTGGATAACATCCTCAAGAAAAAATGGATTATACTTGAGGTTCTGGCATAGATGCTGAAGGAGAATTCTACATGGGATTATTTTGTCCCCATTTTATTGTATTTATTTTAGTTTTAAAAGTTTACCATCTCACCTTTTTTTTTTTTTTTTTGTACCAGGGATCGAACTCAGGACCTCATGCTTGCAAGGCAGGTGATGGCACCACTGAGCTAAATCCCCAGCCCTTCATCTTAATCATTTTTAAGTGTATAGTCTAGTACTGTTAAATATATTTACATTATTGTGAAACAGATTGCATTTTTTGTTAAAAAAGAAACTCATCCTAATCTCAAATACCAAAGAGAATAATTTTTAACATTTTCTTTCTTCCCCTTTCACAGATACATACTTTAATACTTTACTGTAAGCATTTCTCTCCCTAGAGGGACTGTGAACACATTTTCTGGCTGAGTGTCCATGGTTTGCTGCTAGACAGTAAGTAAGGAGCAGGTACTTGTGGACCCAGCCCCTGTTGGACTTGACCTAGTTAAAAACCAGTTTTCTGATCTTCAAAGTGGAAAAGACAATCCATGCCCTATCTACTTCTCACAGGTGTGAGGGAGACTCACATAAGTGAAAATTTTCACATCTAAGATGATACAGATTTTAAGACAAAATGCTGTCAATTAAATTATGATACTTAGGTGCATTCTGATCTCAGAGGTGATGGAATTTGAAAATAAATGCATCTTAAAACCAGGGAAATATAGTATGCAAATAAAATTTGAAGATTCTAAAAGGCTACTGAAAATGAGAAGCATTATTAGTGTTATTCAATACAGAAAGCAGTGACGGGCCAGGGATTTGGCTCAGTGGTACTGATACCTGCCTTGTAAGCACAAGGTCCCAAGTTGGATCCCTGGTACACAAAAAAGTCAGCAGTGAATAGCCTAGCAGTGAGTGCTGCGATATAGCCTGCTGAGAAGGAGATAAAGCGATCAGATTCAAAGTGACAGTGGGAAAAAAGACAAAAAAATTTTTTTTTGGAGGGAAGAAATCATCATGCACAGAGGTGTAAATTTCAGTAAAAGAAAGACATAAAAGAAGTTACTAGAAAGTACCTGCCAGGTATGGTGGCACACACCTATAATCCCAGCAGTTGGGAGGCTGAGGCAGGAGGATTGACCAGAGTTCAGGGCCAGCCTAAACTACACAGTGAGCCCCAGGCTGGCCTGAACTACATAGCCATAGCAAGACCCTGTCTCCCCACAAAAAAAAGAAAGCAAAAAGAAAATTCCTTTTGCTGGCTCCTGTGTCTGCTGGCAGCATCAAAAACAGGTTGGTTGGAATTATACTTGCTATTTATAAAAAGCATATACAGTGGACCCTTGGGGTTATGACCAGAATTTTAGTTTTGTGTGTGTGTTTTCAGTATCTGGAATTGAACTCAGGACCTTGCACTTGCAAGGCAGGTGTGATGCCACTGAGCTAAATCCCCAGCCCTCAGAATTTTAGTTTTAACTTATTACCAAAATTTTGAATTATGACCCAAATGCTGGCCACTTGTGCTTCCAGATGGTCTCAGACACAGATTTAAACTTTAAAGAGTTTTTTTTTGCGGGGGGCGGTTTGAGACAGGGTCTCACTATGTAGTTGAGACTGACCTGGAACTCACTATGTAGCCCAGGCTGGTCTCGAACTCACAGTGATCCTCATGCCTCAGCCTCCCAAGTACTGGGATTACAGGCATGAATCACCACACCTGGCTCCTTAAAGAGTTCTTGAAGAAACATTACAACATCCTTTCCTGTGTGGGGTTAATTGAAAAATCCTGGGGCAATGTCTCTCTAAGGACACTGAGATCTGCCTGTATACAGGAGAGAGATGTTGAAGGCTGTGTAAGAGGACCCTGAGCCTTCAGCTGACCAACCTGAGTTACAATCAGCCCTCAGGAACAAGCTGAGTTCATACGTCAAGCGTGCACTATAGGAGGCATGGCACAAGGTTAAGGATCTTACCTATGTTCTCTCATTTAATCCATGCAACTATCTCGTGAGGCTGGGTTCGTCATCTTCACTTAACAAGTAACAAAGCTGAAACTCAGAACATTTAAAGACTTGCCTGAATAGGAAGAGGCGGAGCAGGGATTCAACCCAGTCCTCCTAACTTTAAGTCCATCTTGTGTGCTGGGCATGTAGCTCAGTGCTAGAGCACCTGTCTAGCATTCTCGCGGCTCTAGGTTAGATCTCCAACACTGAGGGGAAAAAGTCTACACTGCTACACTAATCAGCCTCGCTCCTGCCAGAAATGGAAACCTAGATCTCCCCTCAAAATATCTTTCCTGTAATGAGGTGGTTTCCTGGGAAATACTGCAAACCTCACCTTATCTTTTCCTCCAGAGACACAAAGTTCTGAGTTCAGAGCAGCAATGACAAAGACAGAATCCACGTGAGCGGGGCTATACTCTTGAAAAGTCTTAGTTTGGATCCTCTCTTCTATAATTCCATCAGGCCTGCTAAAGAAGAATGGACAATGAGAAGCCCAATGCCTGGGAGGGGACAGGAGAGCAAGGGGAAGAGGACTGTGGGTGATGGTAGCAATTCAGGCCAGGCTGAGGAGGGAAAGGAAAAGGACCAAGGAGACCTGCTGACATTGCCAGAAATGCTATTGCTTGTTCTGAAAATGTTCAGGATGAATGAATGACTAAAATGTGATAAAGGGGTACCCTGAAGCCAGGAGTCTTTGCTGACACTGTGGACTAATGCCCAAGATGCAGCGCCCCTCCAGGTATGGGTGCAGATACCAACTACTAAGGTGACTGGCTCTCGTCCAAAAGAAAATAGACCGAATTGCTCAGGAAAAAGCATCAACACTCACTCTGGGCTTTCCCTTCCTTTCCTAGAGAGTTGTAACCGGGTGTGATAACATTGGAGACTCTGGGGAAAGACTGCTGTACCTGCATTTGTAAGCGCTGTGTTTGAGTTTGCTTTGCAGTTTCCCCATCAGAGCACAGAACTGACAAGAAAGCTTCTGAAGAGTGCCTTTCCAGAGGCACCGGAGTAGCAGCATCCCTTGCAGTTGTTGGAAGTTGTGTCCCCTGTTTAGTAAAAAAGACCAATGCACACAGTGAATTTTGCCAGGTACAATGATAAAGTATGGTTATATCAAAGCTTTTCTTTTGAAGGACTAATTTTATGCATTTGCTTTTCTTCTTTTCCCTGCTTTACTCTTATGGTCTTGGGACGGCAGCTACCAATAGCAATGGCATTGACAGGTTAATAAAAACAAAATTAATGTTTTAAAATGCTAAGAATTAGAAAGGCGTGCTGGTGCACACCACTTGGGAGGCTGAGGCAGGAGGATCACCAAAAGGTTGAGGCCAGCCTGGACTACATAGTAAGACTGTGTCTCAAAAAAACCAAAAATAGATAAATAAATAAGAACTATGTTTAAACTGATTTAAACGTTACACAAAGTATACATGTTGAAACATTACATGGTACCCCATTAATATGTATAATTTTTATGTTTTTATATATTAGTTAAAAACTTTTAAAAATGTAAAAATAGTACTAAGAAATTCCTCAATAAGTTAAAGACAGAATTACCCTCCAGATCTAGCAATTCCACTCCAGGAAATACAGCCAATTAAAAAAAAAAATGAGGGGCCAGGGATTTACCTCAGCAGTTCGGTGGCCTGCCTTGCAAGCACAAGGACCCGAGTTCAATCCCTGGTACAAAAAAAAAGAAAACAGGTGCTCAAACAAAAATACTCTTTACAATAGTCAAAAGGTGCAAAAAACCCTGCATCGATGGATCTCTCCAACATGAGTTAATCTTCTAAATTTCACGCTCAGAAAAAGAAACTAACTACAAGCCCAGGCATGGTGGCACACACCTGTAATCTTAGCACTCTGGGAAGATGAGGCAAGAGGGCTGCAAGTTTGAGCCCTGCTGGGGCAACTTAGTGAGACTTTGTCTCAAAGTGAAAAATAAAAAGGGGTGAAGGTCCTGGGTTCAATCCAAAAAAAACCAAGATACACCACCTGCCTTGAAAGCGCAAGGTCCCAAGTTCGACCCCGATACCAAAAACAACAACAACAACAAAAAGCCAGATACAAAAGGCTACATAATGTATAACCCTACTTATGTGAAATATCTACATGGTTCACAAATCTATAGTGAGAGCAAGCAGATTAGTGGTTGCCAATGGCAAAGGTGATGTGAAGAGCTGGGGAGCATTTTACCACTTAACAGGTACTGAGTTTCCCTTTTGGGGTGATGCAAATGCCATGGAACTAGATAGGTGGTGATGACTGTACAACACTGTCTATGTACTAAATGTCACTAATGGTAGATTTTATGGTGTAGATACTCTACCACAATAAAATAAATACTAAGAGCCTGTAATTAAAAATAAAAAATAAATGACATTAGTGAAGCTTCTTACAAGAAGGCATTTAGTTATTCCAAAGTGTTATGACCTTCCTTGCTTGCTGGACTGTATTAAATAATTTTACTGTGACACTTCTTTAAATCAACATTCCAGGATCATGAGGTTATTCTGTAATGAAAATGAGATGCTAAGAGATAATGACACTAAACAATACAATAAGGGCAATGGCATAGGCCAGCAGCTTTCAAAGTATGATCTAAGGACCAGGAGGGATTCCTGAGTCTCCAGGAGTCCTTGAGTTCCTCCCTTTTCAACTGCATCTCTGTGGGAGGCCTGATTTCTCAACCTGTCAACCTAAAAATATGTAATGCAACAGATTGAAAGCAGAAGCAGATATGAGACTCTAAGTTGTCATCTATTTAAGAGTTTAGAAAGATATAATTTTTCCCAACTAAACTGTTTGTAAAGTTTATCTATTTATTTATTTTGGTACAGGGGATCGAACTCAGGACCTTGCACTTGAGGCAGGCACAGTGCCACTGAGCTAAATCCCCAGCCCTGTAAAGTTTAGTTTTCATACAATGATATTATTTATTTTAATATGAAATAGAGTATTGTATTATTGCTTTAAATAGGCAAATCTTTTTAAATGTCTCAGTTTTAATGTCAATAGGAGATAGCAAAGGAGCAATCTGAACCCAATCTATAGCATATATAAACAAAAGCTCAGGGGCCGGGGATTTGGCTTAGTGGTTCTGCTACCTGCCTCACAAGTGCAAAGACCCGAGTTCAAACCCTGGTACAAAAAAAAAACAACAACAACAAAAAAAAACCCCAAAAGCTCTCTGGAGACCTTAGTGATTTTTAAAAGGGAGAAAGAGTCTTGAGGGCAAAAAACTTGAGAACTGACCTGGAAATTAAAATCATGTTAATAATAGATGACATATATTAGAGCCAAAAAAATTGTTTCCCAGATTTACTTACATTATCCCCATCAGTCACAAGGCTAGAACTGAAAAGAAGAGAATGAATGGTACATTCAAAGATGCCTATCCACTCCTTTTCTCAGGAAACACCTCCTAAGTACTAAACACCTAAGAACCTAATTTGTTCATGCCCATACCAGCAGCTGGTGAAACAGAGGGAAACAAAGAAAGACAAACCTAAAGATACTGGCCGGTGTGATCATTTGCTGACACAGAAGGAAACTGATAGGGTTCAATCTCAGCCATTTTAGGTCCCGTGTCCTCTACAACTAGCTATTCCCAAGATGCCAGGGGGCTGAGGGAAGTAAATGGAGCAATGACAGAGCCCAGTCCCCACTTCTTCTAGGGTTCTCCTTAAAGTTCTAAGGTGAGGTGCTTTTGGACTAAACAAGCCTTGTTCTAGGAAGAACTGTTTACAACAAGAACAGCAGCCAAAATTAACCATGTAAGTATTCTCATTCATATGATGATCGTTAAAAGAGTTTTCCAGAAGAGTTTTGAGAGTTGTCAGAACGGAGCTCCTGACAGGAATAGGTAAGTAGTACAGAAGCACAAGTCAGTGGCAAGAACACTGCTATAGCATCAAGAGTTTGGGCTCTTGCCCCAGCTCTGCCTCATGTCACCATGTGTCCCTGAATGGCTCCAGTCTACATTCTAGGTTTCAATCTCCCCAGCTACTCAGTAGGCTGAATCAGGAGGATCACAAGTTTGAGGATGGCATGGGCAACTTAGTGAGACCCTGTCTTAAAATAAAAAGAGCTGAGGATGTAGCTCAGTGGCAGAGTACTTGCCTAGCATGTGTGAGGCCTGGGCTCAATTCCTAGTACTAAAAAAAATAATAGGATAGGTGCTAAATGATTTTTAGTAAATTATATGTTCCACAAAGAAACAGACTTTCATTATTCATCATTGTACCCCATTATATGGTACAACACACAAATTGGAATCTAACATTTCTAGGATTCTCTGTAACAGGTCATAAGATGTGCTAAAAGAAAAAGTTCCAGGATAGTTTCCAAAATCCTTGGGATGTTATGTTTATAGATAGTGTAGGGCCAGCCTAACCCATTTTTCAACATTGCCATCAAACTACAAAAACAGGTGCTACCCGTAGATCTAGGTCATTGGAAATTGCAGGTGCTATAAATGGACTGGCTGTGCTTAAAATTGATTGGATTCTTAGCTGTCATCTTCAGAAAACTATACTTCCCAAGTGAAGAGTATTATTGGTACATTCTAGGGAAAGGTAACTTTTAGAATTACTTACCCTCAAACCAATAGGATCTTCTTGGTGAGTGCCGTATTCAACAATTTGCGATGTTTATCCTTTGGAAAATAGTTCAGGCAGCCACTTCCTAATCTCTGTAATTAGTGAAAAGACGCTCAACCTAATCTCTGTGTAAGCATATGTTTGCACTGAAAAGAGATTTACAAGGTAAATAAGGACTGTTTAATTGAAAAGATTGTTTAGTACAGTTTTTCTTTACAAAGAAAGCAATAGTTTACAAAATTCCAAAGCTATATAATTCACATTTCCAACAATGAAAGTGTACTGTAAAGTTAATTATACATCTTTTAAAATATGCAAAATATATTTAATTTCATCATTAAACATTTTGATTTTACTTACGTTAATCAAAAATCCTCAGAATGTACTGCTTACTTCAGAGTTTACTGCTTTTGAGACAAAAGGCAATTTCCTTGTTTATTTTAGCATGGTACTAGGATTGAACCTTGCAGGGCTGGTGAGCCTTTTAGAACTTTCAATGATAAACAGCCAGCTTTGGGACGTGTGCCATAGGTTCCACACCACTGATGGAGCCTTCACTCTGATCTACATCTCAGCCCTTCTTATTTATCTATTTACTTTTATTTTGAGATAGCTCTAATTTTCTAAGTCGGAACTCCCAAGGATGGGGACAACCTGTCTGCAGTTTTTCCCTCCTGGCTCTTCAGATCACATACGCTCTCCTTCCATTATGCAAACCGCTAAAGCTCATATTTGATGTCTGTGAGCGAGGAGGATTCACCCAAGGTGGAAACCTAGTGTACCCCAGCCTAACGCTGACACTGAAACCCCCTCCCCGCTTCGGCCAGGTGGTTGGCTGTGACAAAGAGAGTGCGACCGATTCCATCTCTCCGTGGCACCCCTTTCTACCATCTTGGGCGCCATACCCACCGGTGGAGTGGCGGGTCTAGCAGTGAGGCCCACCGGGACGCGGAGCAGGAGGGCATCCGCGCCCTCCACCGCCTCCCGCGCCTCGGCCCCTAGCAACGGGCCGCGCGTCGTTAGGGCAGGAGTACTGGAGAAAAACCTCCGGGCTCCCTTGGCTGACTCAGAATTTAAGTTCCGCTCCCCGGAAGTCTTCAAGGGACAGAACCCTGCCTGGCTTTCTTAATGTAACAATGTGTTGATGAGGTATAGTGAAGAGGACGAATGTACCCCAGAGCATGCTGCCCAAAGAATCTGTATCATCCAAGGAAAGTGGTGTGTTTAATAGCCATGGAGAAAGTGCCTAGTACATGTCATCTTTTAATTATTATTCTACCAGAGAGGGGGTTGCCTTATTTCTTTAGTTTTTCCCTAAGTTCCAGCCAGACAGAGATCCCTCCTTTGGACCCTACTTCCCTCTTTCTTACATTCGTTCCTTCATCAAACCACAACAGCTCAGCACGACAGCAAGGAGATCCCTCAACACTTTTCTTGAGATCCAAATGTAAGAGTTTCGAAAACTAACAGCAGCCACACGACAAAATTTTTACAGCTACAGTCACGTCGTTTCCAGACCAAAGTCTATTCATCTCCGTATTCCTAGTGCATAGCATTGGGCTTGTTGAACGTTTGTTGAATCCATGAATGAGTGAGTAAATGAATGAGTGAATAAGATCTTTTTCTTTTGCACCTTAGTATGTGGCCTTTCCAGTGGCAGGTCTCCTAAACTACCATAAATGAAGATTTGTGGAGTTTCTGAAAATTGGGTGCCTGAGCAGAATGAGAGTGGCCAGACAACTTTGCCTTCGCAGAGTATCCAGGTTGGCCACTGAATCTGTATTCCCCCCGAAGGAAGGTATCTGCACCATCCCTTGTGGATGCTCCCTCCTCGCTGATGCACTCATTCTTTTCTGAGTCAGTGGTCTGTTGTCAAGAGATATATTTCCTGGCAGGACCTGGGCTCTATTCCTCTGCCACTTGCAACATTGATGTTAGTTCAGACTGAGGGCTCTCCCTACAATCTCATCCCTCTTCCCTATAATTAGAATAGGCCGATTGCTGAGGCACAGGACTAGGCTCAGTATAGCTACAGGCTGATTTATTAGATTCCTGCCCTCAAGATGTTTTTGCTGTGGCATGGAGCTCCCTTGAGAGATGCCTTAGGCTTGTGGCATATAATACTCTCAAACTGGTATCTGCAGCCAGACTGCTTTTTGAGCCATACCTGTATATCCACCTGTCTCCACTTGGCTGTCTAAAAAACACCTTCCCACTGACATGACTCACACTGGAAACATCATCTTTTTCTCAAACCTGTTCCTCCTCTTTTTTCTGCCATCTGTTAATCGCCCAAATCAAGGATATAGGAGTCACTTGTAACATCTTTTCTTTCTTCTTTGAGAACAATCCCCAAGATTCCTCAATTTTACCTCCTAAATATCCTAAAAATAAAAATCTGCCCTCTCTTTAGCCACTACCATGGATCAGGCCAAGATCATCCAGAGTGTGATAGATTGAAAATGACCATAGATTCTTTGTAGCTTCTATCGGAGCGGGCCTTGTAATTTGTTTTGCTCAATAGAATGTAGCAGAAATGACATTGTGGGACTTCTGAGTTTAAGCCTCTGAAGGACTTGCAGTTTCTGCTTTTATCTTCTTGGGCTACTGCCAGCATGGGAGGAGGACCAGACTAGTCTGTTTGAGACATGGTCCATCCTAATAGCTGGCACCAAACATCCGACATATGAGACATGACCATCATCATCACCATTTATATTATTGTTAAAAAATAATGGGGATTGAACGCAGAGCCTTCACACTGAGCTATTTCCCAGCCCTTTTTAATTTTTTTTCTTTATTTTGAGACATAGTTTTGCTAAGTTGATAAATTTCCCAGGCTGGGCATGAATTTGCAATCCTCCTGCCTCAGCCTGCCAGAGTGCTAAGATAACAGGTGTGAACCGTTGCGCCTGGCTGTAAGTCAGACTATTTTAGACTCTCCAGCCCCAGATGAGCCATCAGATGACTGTAGCTCCTTGAGCAGCCATCGGAAGAACAGTCCAGCTGAACTTAGCCCTATTTGCCAATCCACAGAATTCTGATCAAATAAACAATGTCATTTCAAACACTGAGCTTAAAATTGCTATACATAATAGGGAACTGATATCTGAGGTGACATCCAAATTCCTTCTATAAGGTTTAGTATGTATCTATTTAGCCTCATCTTCTACCTCTGCCACCCATCCTGTGTGGTTCAGTGGTCTAAGGTACTTGCAGTTTCCCAATTTACTGTGCCAGCTGTCACCTTTAGATCCTTGCATGTGGCAATCACTACCTAGATCATCTGTCTGGCTCTTTATCCTCAGCTTCTCTCCCTGTACTCCCAAGTCTTCCCTAACCATTCCTCTTCTGCTCTGGACTGGGTTAGCTCTCCTACTTCTGCACTTCCAAAGCCTGCACAATTTCTCCAACATATTGTGATTTTTTTCCTTTCTTTTGCTTTTTTTGCTTTGCTAGGGGGTTGAACCCACAGTCTGGTGGATAAGCACTCATCACTGAGCTACAATCCCAGTCCTTTTTATTTGTTTCTTGATTTTGAGGCAGGTTCTTACCTAGTTTCCCAGGGTGGCCTCAAATTTGTGACCCTCCTGCCTCAGCCTCCTGAGTGGTTGGGGTTACAAGCATGTGCTATGGTGCCAGCTGATTTCTTGTCTTACTCATCTGTGAGCTCCATAAAGACAGTGACTAAGTCTCATTTATACTTATATGGATGGTGCCTGACACAGGGTCCAGCATAGCATTATAATAGAACTTTCTACAGTGCTGGAAATGTTCTGTTTCTGCTCTGACCAGTCCCATAGCACTACACCATAGCATTTCTTTTGTTTGTTGTTTTTTGAGACAGGGTCTTGCTATGAAGTTCAGGCTGGCCTTGAACTGACTATATAGCCCAGGTTGGCCTCAATCTTGCCATGATCCTCCTGTCTCAACCTTGAGAGGGCTGGGATTACTGACATGTGCTGTCACTTCTGGCTCACCATAACATTTCTGCACTGACCAGTCCCGACTGGTCAACTAGCTCCATGTAGCTGCTGAGTACTTGAAATATAGCTAGTGCAACTGAAGAACTGAATTTAAAATGTTACTCATTTTGTTTGTTTGTTTTTGTGGTAACAGGGATTGAACTCTGGACCTTGTGCTTGCGGGGCAGGCACAGTGTCACTGAGCTACATCCCAGTCCTGAATTTTACTCATTTTAATTAAGATTAAATTTAAATAGCCTCACGGGGCTAGTGCAAGTTTAGCACACGGTAGGCACTTACTGAATTTTGTTCTGTTTTGTTTGGCAGTACTGGGGACCAAACCAAGGGTCTTGCACATGCTAGGCAAGCACTTTATCACTGAGTTCATTCCCAGTTCCTTATTGCATATTTTTTGAATAAAGAATAAAAAGGGAAGACAGTATGGAAAGATAATTGGCCCACAAAATAGGATGCTAGGGTACAAGCAACATAAATTCATGTATAGACCTCTAGGCCCCTTACCTCCCAACCCCTCAGTCTAACACTACCAGTGTCTCGTATGTAAATATAACCTTGGCTGTGGGTTCTTTGTTACTTGGATTGGCTGTTCTTCCCTGGACTTGCTCTGTTTGATGATGTTCTGCCTGTGAAGTGAGCTGATCCCAAAGCCCTCTGGAGATGAGATCTGGGCACATCTGGTTTGGTCTGACCTGAGTAGAGAGCTCTGTCTGTCTACTCCATCACATGGGGCCTAAGTGGTCTGAGTTTGCACTGGCAGGTTGCCCAGTTCTCTTAAATGTGACAGTTGATTGTGCTATGAAAATGTCACAGAAGGACAAGAAGCCCGAGTGTTGATACTCACTGATACTCCTGGAAACCAGACAAACTGCAGTTGGGTGACTTCTAGCACTGATGCTAGACATGTTGCAAAAGGATCTGAGGTGGACGGAAGAGTTGCCACAGGGCCAGCTGGGTGGGGGCGGGCCAGAGCCCCACTGAGCAAATAGACATTCTGGGTCTGCCATGGAGGATCAGACCTGAGAGAAGGATAGTTCTTCCCAGAACCCTTTCTAAACATTCACTAAATAATCCTTGAGATGTGATGCAGTGCCACCCCTACTCCTGTAATCCCAGCTGCTTAGGAGGCCGAGGCAGGAGGATTGGAAGCTCAAGGCCCACCTGGGTGACTTAACCAGACCTTGTCTCAAAATAAAAAGGGGTGGATATGTAAACCAGTGGAAGAGTGCTTGCCTAACCAAATGTTGTAAGTATCATTAACAAGCAAGTGAAAGGGCAGGTTATAGAGCAGGATATACACAGAATCCTGATTTTATAGGAATAAATAACCATCTCATATATTTCATAGTAGGGGCTAACGGATGTTCATATGTGCAAAGATCTGTAATTATACTTAAAACAGATTATCACACCATGGAACTCATATGTAGTTCATCAGTGAGGAGGAGCAGAGGTCCTGCATGGTATAAAAAGAAATCTTGCACTTTGTACCTCCTCTGCCTGGACAGCTCCTTCCCCAGGTAGTCTTAGAGCTCCAGCCATACCTTCTAGACCAGCACTGCCTCCATACTCCCTTTCCCATTGTTGAAACAAGCTCTTGAGACTGTGTTCCCTGAAATGACAGCTTTACAGAGAAGTTATAGATGCTAGCTAGAAAAAGGAGCAGATCCTGGGACGAGTTCCGGCAACTACCAGCCACAGAGCTATGTAAGAACTTGGAATGTGTCCACTGGGCCAGAACCAGGAACGTTGTTTCTGTAACGAAAATTTGAGGAAGAAAGATGTAAGTTGTTAGATGAGGGATTGTGTGAAGCAGGGAAAGCTTTGGGGTAGGGGCAATCTATAAGGAGAAGTAATGGATGCTTTTGGACTGGCAGGGGTTGTAAGCAGGTGCCTGGGGGACTTATGATGAGATTGGAGTTAAAGTGTGTGGGGGGGTGCTTTTCAGTGCTGGGAATGGAACCAGGGCCTCTTTCAAGCTAGGCAAGTGCTCTGCCGCTAAACCAAACACCCAACCCTGAGTTAACGCTTTAACATATATTCAAGAATACAAAGCCATCTTTTCACACTCCTGTAATCCCGGCACTCGGGAGGCTGAGGCAGGAGAATCGCTGTGAGTTCAGGACCAGCCTGGACTACATAGTGAGTTCCAGGTCAGTCTCAACTACATAGTGAGACCCTGTCTCAAAAACAAAAAAACAAAAAACCACACACACACAACACAACACAACACAACAACAACAACAAACAAACAAACAAAAAAAAAAAAGAGAGAAAAGAAAAGCCAAAACGATCTCTTGTTGCTGGCCTGTAATTTGTTAGCTGATGAACTCTCCTCATCTGTCCTCCCCTTCATCTTCTGGCCTTTGTAATTAAATATAGGACATCTCAGAAATTTCCTCTTATAAAATCTCGAATGTTCTTCATCTCTCACTATTGGTATTGGACTACATATCTGTTTGTTTCATTCATCCGTGGAAGTAACTTTGTTCTAGACTGTTGCACCCCAGTTAAATAAGACCTGGCTCACAGGTAGGTGCCCAACAAACTTGTAGAATGACTAAAATGTAATAAACATGTCCATTTTGCTCTGTCACCAGTTCAGAGTGTCCTACTTGTACAAACTCTAAAGTTTAAGCACAGTCCTTCCCATGCCCGACAGGGTTCCAGAAGTCCCTGTACAGCCTACGCAGCTTTCAAACTTTTTTTTTTGAACATGACCCTCAGAAAGAAGTGCACTTGGTCTCCACTGCCCATACACATCCTCTTACTTAGGTGTAGTCAAGAGAGCAAATTATAACAAATTTAGCTAAATTTAGTTAAATGATCAAATTGGCTTTTATTGACAATTCTAACATTGGGCAACACATCATTCTGTAAAATGGACGGACTAAGATGAAGAGGTTGGTTTGATGGGCAGGACAGGGCTGAAGGAAGCAGAAATAAAGTCATTCTGAAGTTACTTTCTTACCGGGTCAAAACAAAGGGGATTTCCTTTATCATACCATCTAAATCTGGCCTGTTTGGGACAATAATCTGTTGCTCTTGCTTTGTAGAAGTAGTAGATAAGCAAGTTTGTGACAATTTAGTTTCAGTTTGGTAACGTGGAATTTAAACGTGAGCACGAATGACTCCATATTGGTTTGGTTTGGTCTGTTGGGGCCTAGTGCAGGAGCCTTGGCCAAAACAATGGCCTCCCATAAAGTTTGTTTACTTCCATGTATTTAACTGAAAAAGCAACAAATAGTTGGTCAGTTCATTGTTTCCTTTCCTTCTTTTTCTTTCCTTTTTTTCTTTTTTTTCCTTTTTTGAGACTATATAGTTCAGACTGGCCTCCAATTCATGGCAAACCTGCTTCAGCTTCCTGAATGCTAGGATACAGGCATGTGTCATCATACCTGGTTCGTTTCTTGACTTGCTATTCCCACCTCATAAAGGGTTGCCACTGCTTAGGGCACTGTTTAGGTCAGAGGGATCACCTGCTTCCTAACCATGGGTGACTGCTAGAAATGCAGATTCCTAGTTCCACTTCAGGCTTTTTTTTTTTTTTTTTTTTTTGAGACAGGTTCTCACTATGTTCAGGCTGGCCTTGAACTCATAGCGATCCTCCTGCCTCAGCCTCCTGAGTGCTGGAATTGCAGACATGAGCCCCCACACTCAGCTTCCATTCCAGATGTAAAGAATGAGAATCTTACTAGAAAGCCTCCATTTCCCTCCTCCGTCTCCTGTGCCCCATCCCCTAGTGATTCTGGATTGGGAAAATCTTGAAAGGCCCAGCCTGGGAGTTTATGAGTATCCTGGGCCTGTTGAGGATGCGTGTCCTGCAGGGCTTGTTGTTTGTTTCAGGAAGGGGCTGATTGTCCAGCACCAGTTCAAGAGCAATGGAACAGATGAACCCAACTTTCTAAAAGCAAATCCATTCCCATTGTATCCCTTTGTGTTTCCTAGTCCCTTTGCCTGGAAAGGGCAAAGGGTTTGATGATTTCCACTGTGACTTTCCAGTCCTAGCCCTCCTAGGGCCACTGACTGCTCTAAGGCCACACGCAAGGAAGGAACACAGCTTTTCCCAGGGACCTTAACCTTTTTCCCCTTCCTGTCCCCATAGCTCCCTCACCCTCAGGGGGAAAAAACCCCAAAGTAATCTCTAATTAATATGGCCCATTTCCATTTCTACCCTCAGAGGAGGGCAGATACAGTTATGAAGACATCACCCACGTCACCCTCCCATTGGGATGCGCTGAAAGGCTTCTTTTGATAACAGGACCACTGCAAGGTCTCTAAAGAGCCTGACTCAATTTACATTCCCAAACCTGCCACAGTTACAGATCCCAACATGAATACTAAAATCCTATATTATTCACAGGTATATGTCAAAACAAGCATTTTGCAAGTAAGATTTCATTTTATTCTCGACACAGCACTCTGAGCTGCGTAGTATTATTAACATCCCCATTACACAGATCAGGAAATTGAGTTTTTGTTGTTTTTTGAAGTAGGGTCCTGCTACGTAGTTCAAACTGGCCTTGAACTTGCAGAAATCCTCCTGCCTCAGCCTCCTGAGTGTGGGAATTACAAGCATGTACCACTACAACCACTGAGATAAGGAAATTGAGACCAGAGGAACTAAGTAAGCTGATTGCAGTCCCATAGCAGTGAGTGGTATAGCTGTGATGAAACCTATAATGTGACATTCCACTCTGTTATTTTGTCTGGCCATGTGGCATAATATTTGTGTTTGTGGGGTGACACAGTGTCCATGCTGGAAGATGACATCGCTTAGTACTGCTCTGGGTGTTTTCCAGGCTGTTAGCTGCCCTTACTCCTTCAGGGCTAAAGCTTAGGGCCTGTGAAGAGAAGGGTTCTGTTGCCTTTGTGTAGTGGTAGCTTAGAGGAACCTCAGGGCAGAAGAGCCTAAGCCCCCCAGAAGTCTCACAGATGTAGTGGGTTTTCCCCCCAGAAGAATTTGCTGCCACCTGTCCCCAGATGTGCTGAGCCCAGAATCCACCCCAACACACAGGGCCTGAGCCCTGCCCCCTTTAGCTGAGTTTGCTCAGCTCTCTGCCAAGACCTGAGATGGAGTTTGGGCTTGAGGAGCAGTGCCTTCCTTGTAGGCCTAGACTGGGCCTCCAACAAAGGGCTCAATCTGGCCTTATATTGCCATATAGGGGTCTGGGGAGAAACCTCTGAAATGGCTCAGTCCACGTCAGCCATTTTTTTGGAAGGAGTGCTTCCATGCTCTTATTTGCAAGATTGATTTTCTTCACAATAAACATGCATTACTTTCCAATGGTGCTAATTAAACAAACAAACAAACAAAAACCTCAGGGTCAGGGATTTAGCTCAGTGGTGTTGCTGCCTGCCTTGCAAGTTTAAGGTCCTGAGTTCGATCCCTAGTACCCCCCAAATATATATATATTTATCAACCAGGGCTGAGGATGTTGCTCAGTGGTGCAGTGCCTGCCTAGTGTGCAAAAGGCCCTGGTTTTGATCACCAAAATAAAAAAGTAAATCATAGTAACCTTAGGTTACTGCCTCAGGTTCTCACTCATTGCCATTAATTAGTGACTATGCCCTGCCCATAAGTCATTTAACATCCATAAAAAATTGGAATATTAATAGTACTTCCCATGTACTATTAACTGCTGGGAGACTGCAGCTGCTGTCTGTGTTCCAGGTACTGCACTGTTTAATGTGTTTTTAATTTACTAATTCCTCAAGCCAAAGTCTGTTAGGCAAGTGCTGTCATCCCTATTTTTTTTTTCTGGTAATGGGAATCGAACTCAGGACCTTGAGTTTGCAAGGCAGGCTCGGCACCACTGAGCTAAATCCCCGGCACCCTGTCATCCCTATTTTACAGTCAAGGCCACAGGGTGGTTATAAGGGACTTGAACTGGGCAGTCTGACACCAGAGCCTTGTTTTCAGCTACTCGCCTAATTTATCTTTCACAAGAGGTGTTGTGAAGATGATAAAATGCTTGTAAAGTGCTTGGCAAAACTTGGCACTGAATTTTTATTTTCCTGAGCTACATTCCCAGCCCTTTTTATTGTATTTTGAGACAGAATCTCTCTTAATTCCCTGGCTGGCCTCAAACATGTAATGCTCCTGCCTCAATCTCCCAGGTATTTGGGATTACAGGTGTATACCACGCCCTGCTAAAACCTGGCACTTAGTAAGTGCTTAATAGTTTTCTATGGTCACATTAATATTTGTTGTTCTAACGTCTTTATAAAAACAAGCATACAATACGATTTAATTCAGCAGAGAAAGACTGGCGAAGAGGGCAGGATCAGGGCGGGGGCGGAAAGAAAGGGCTAAAGGTGTAGGGAAAATGGGAAGGGTAGTGGAAAGGTAATAAGTGAAAAGAAAACAATATGTAAAAATGGAAATAAAGTGTTTGTAAATGGGGAGGGGAGGTGGGTGAAGGGAGGTCATGCACAAGAGGAAAAAAATGAGAACCAAGACCTGTCATGTAAAGGTGCAAGATCCCAATAAGGAATGTAATTGTACTGTATACCTTAAATATACCAATAAACTCAACCGGGGACACCGCGTCCGCCGGGCGGAGGAGCATGCGGAGGAGCTGCGGGTGAGCGGGCGGGGGCCGATGGTGGCGGGACTCGGGAGGCAAGGACCGCGGAGTGTGGGGTGGGGGTAGACCGGGCTTCCCAATGGCTTCGCCCTAGAACCAGGCGGTGAAAGGTGTGGCCGCTGGAATCAAGTCGACCCAAGTTCGAATCTCACCCTTCCCTGTCTTCCCTGTGAGTCACCGAAACTCCCTGAGCCTCGATGTCTTCATTTGTATTTTGGGGGCAGGAATAGTAGCCCGTGTTTATTATAGGTGACTTCTGATAACACTGGATCCTGGGCGGGTGTGGCGCCACAGGTTTGTGTTTGTAGTTCGGGCTTGCAGGGAGGCTCAGGCAGGAAGGTTAACCTGGGCTGTAGGTGGCCTGGAACATAGAGACCCTGCTTCAAGAGAGGGCGTGGGGAGACACAAACCCGTCCCTCTTCCCTTTCCACCCAGAGCTGCTATCCCTATCCTTAGGTGTCAGGTGAGATGATCTGTTTCCTTTCCAGAATTAGCCTTGCCTGTACTTCAAGCTGGTTTCTCCTGGATAACAGAGGGAGTGGGGAGGGTATGGGACAAAACTTCCCTAGGGTTTCTCCTCCACTCTCAGCTTGGCTCCAGGTCACTTACCTGTCACCCCACCCCCAGTGTGGAGAGTCAAATCACCTGGGAACGTCCTTCCCCCCTCCACCCTAGCTGTGGTCCTAGGGATTTCCTTGCAGTTGGATGAACTGGTTTCTTTCTTCCAACCCCACCCTGTGTGCAGTTCAGCCCTCCTATGCACCTGTGCCCTCGCTGGGGACTTCACTGACTCAGACTGGACTGAAATATAAACACTTCACGGGATGCTGGGGCCACAGTCGGTTCACTTATTCAGTGTATCCTAAGTTTCTGGTTGATCCTATCAGTCAACAATAGTGATGGTAAAAATAAACTTGGATAGTGTGATATATTCAGATTGCAAGATGGGTAGGAACTTAGCAAATTCTATAGTATTTACATATGTTCCATCTCATTCATCCAAATCAAGCCAGGAAACCAAAGCCCAAAGCAGGGCAGTAACTCCTGTGAGGTTCCTAAAGCTCAGAGGCTGGAGAGAGAGGGGTGATTCATTGACTAAGCAAGAGGAAGCCACCTCTTTATGCTCTGGTGGTTAGGAGGAGGAAGTGACGCTAGTGGAAAACCTTAAAAAGTACCCACCAGGCCCTGAGTGATAGGAGTGACGGCAGGTTGGGGGGGCAGGCCTGCTGCTTATTTTGGATTGTATTCTGCCTCCGGTGTCTTCCCTGGATGCCCCTGCCCCACCAAGACTCTAAATATATTTATCTCCTGTGAAGGGAGGTAAGTCTTGCCCTCACTTTTTCCAATTTTAGTCTAGATAATTACTCAATTTTAGTGTAGATAACATGCTAGAGATCAAACCCAGAGCCTTAGGCTGCCTCTAAACTACACCCCAGCCCTAGATTAGATGATGTCTATAGCACAGTCCTTTTCCTGGCCCTCCAGCCAACAAAGAAATTGCACCCCAGGGCAAGATTATTACAGAACTGTTCAAAACCCAGCACCAGTTTTCACTGCTCTCTTACCTTCTGAATCCTTGCCCTGTAACTTTTCAGAAGCTAAATTCACCTCTGGCTGGGTGCATGGAGATCACAGCTTTGGTGTAATCTAGTCAATCCCGTAACTTTGCGTTTGGACCAGTGAAGTATAAGACTAATTCCAGTTTGTGGGAGGAAGGATTTACAAAGGCTTCCTGGAAGAGGTAGATGAATTGCCTTGTAGCAAATGGAACTGAGGGAAAGTCTTAAAGGAAATAATGGAGGGACCACTGCCGGAAGGGCACCGGCTGTTACCTGGAGACATGGAGTGGAGAAGCAGGGGTCCTCACCATATCTTTGGAGAAAGGCACTTCTCTGTGGGCCTTGGCTCTCTCATTCCTAAAACTCTCTCCTGTCCCCACGGGTGATACTAGTAACTATGGGAGCTGTGAATTGCTGCCCCTCTTGTGGTCAACACAATGGATGTTCATGCATTCAAAAAATCTTTATTTAGGGATCGGGGATTTAGCTCAGTGGCTCTGCCGCCTACCTCATAAGTGTAAGGTCCTGGGTTCAATCCCGGTACTAAAAAAAAAAAATTTTTTTTTTTTATTTAGGGGCTTTTATTTGCAGGAATTCAGAGAACAGGTCAAAGATATGGTATTTATGTTCCTGTCACAGGGAAACACGTATGAAAAAGAGTAAACACATAGTATGTAGTCTGAAAGTTGTAAGTACAAAGGAGAAAACTAAAGCACAATAAAAGGTAAAGGGGAGCTGGGCGTGGTGGCACATGCCTGTAATTCCAGCACTCTGGGAGGCTGAGGCAAGAGGATTGTAAATTTGAGCCCAAGCCCAGCAATTTAGCGAGGCTCCCTTACAGTAAAAAAGGGGCTGGGGGACTGGGAATTCAGCTCAGTGGCACTGCGCCTGCCTTGCAAGAACAAGGTCCTGAGTTATGGGCTGCAGGGGGGCGGGTGTTGTCATGCAAAGGCCTTAGATTCAATTCCTAGTGCAAAAAAAATAAGTACAAATTAAAAATAAAATAAAAGACAAGAGGGAGAAAGCCAGGGAAGGCCTCTCTGAAGTGGCATGTCGTAGACAGAGTAAAGGAGTAATATGCACACGCACGCGTGTGCACACACACACACACACACACACACGAGAATACTGCTAGGGAAAGAATAGTGCAAAGGCACAAAGGTCAGGACAATTTGGTGATTTTAAGGAATGGAGAGGGTTGGGGGTTTAGCTCAGTGGTTCTGCCACCTGCATCACAAGTGCAAGGTCCTGAGTTGGATTCTTGGCACCAAAAAAAAAAAAAAAAAAAAAAAAAGGGG